CTACTTATAACACTATCCTCACTAAAATTTTGCTAAGGCAATGGAAAATAGATTTTTCTGATTGATTTCTGATGCGATGCTGATAGGTCAATAAAAAATATAAATTCTGATTAGTTGGCGATTGACGCAGCTTGTGAGTGGTTGCGGTCAGATAATTAGTGATAAAGTTGTAAAAGTACAAGAAATTGTTTTCTGAATAAATTAATACACTGTTGAATGTGATAAGGTATGATACAAATGCACATAGATAACTTAAGGTTTGGCTAGATGATACACAGTTTTTTACCGACATCTCAATCACAAAAAGAACTTTGTTCAGAATAAAATAGAATAATTACCAAACCACTTCAGTTTGTTTATAGATGCCGCTACTTTGGAAATCACGTAAAAGACTATTAAAAGATAATATCTCACTCGCCACGCCGTAGCGGTGTAGTATTTTGTTCACACATTTGCATAGATTCAGTCTCTTGAACGCCTGACAGAAAGACTCATCGATAAGAAGCATACCATGGACTCCTCGAATCTTCCCAGTTGAATTAGACTGAAAATACTGCATGAGACAGACAGTGTCATTTGCTTAAGATACATTCATCGCTTTACTACATGTCTTCAATCAGCAGTGCTGTGTAATCAGGAGACGTAGTGAACTAGATAGTAGGATGGTTATGTGATCAGAATTCATGTTCAGTAACATATTGAATTTCAATGGATGAATTTGACTCACTGCATTATTGCACAACACATCCTCAAAATTCATGGATTAGCTAAATTAAAAAATTTCAGTTAAATACCTCAAGACAACGAAGAATATGACGACAACATGTTCGACTGCACAGATCCTGAATTCTCCTTTGTATTCATTTCATGCTTACTTCTTTTTTAACTCTTTTTCACAGAAGACTATTGAAACGCTGTCTGGTAATAACCTCTAAAACTATATGAAGGAGTCTTCTGAAAGCTAACTCTTCTTCTTTTGGAGACATCAAGAGGAATGGCCTGGTTTATATATGTTGTATTAAACTGAAAGTTACGTCATCAAAGCATTCCATTTTTGCCTCTATCTTCATCATAGCAATTCCAAATGAGATAAATTCAGTGTGTACTTTCACCGAGTGAAATGTCATCAGCAAACTACTCGAATAATTTTGTAATGAAGTGAATACATTACTGATAATTCCGTCAATTTCAGCAGTGAGTGAAAGTGCCTCTAACATGAGGTCGTGGAATCCTATCATGTAGTGCCAATGAGAGATTTCAAATGAAGATCATAGTCAAAAATCTCTTGCGACTCTCCTCAACGTGGTCAGCTTTCTGATGAAGTAAGCCATTTGACCCAATAACACTGCCCTGCCACATACAATATTCGAAATCCTGCTTCGCAGGCTCATTGTGAGACCATCCACTGCTGATACTGTAAAAATCACGAGGAATTCTAACATGTGAATATGCATATGATGCAAAGAAGCGGATACCATCTGTATATCCCGCTTATTCAGATTAATTTATTTGAGCAGACATGGAAGTCAATGAGTTTAATGAAAGTGATTGGAAAAGGCCATCATCACTACAGTGTGTGCATCCATAAAGCGTATGCATCCGCAATGGAGAAAAGGATGATGAGATTTTAGAATTTCTTCTCTGAATATGATATCGTAAACCACACAGAAGAAATGTAGTTGGATATTTTTTAAAGTCTATCAACGACAGTACATTCAGACTTGCTTCTGTTCTTGCAGAAGGAAACAGCTGTGATTTTGGTTTCACGTGCATACCTACCAGTGTAATTCAGGACACCCATCTATCTCAGAATAAATTTCGTCAGTCTAAATTAGTTTCATAGCAGTGAAACACTGAATGTTGATTTGAATTTTCTCAGAAGTAATATTATCTATCGATTGAAAGTGTCGCTAATTTGTGGTAATTAGTGTTCGGCATTGATGACCAGTGCAAGTCGTTGTCATCTTAATAATTTAACAGTTAGAAAGTTCATGATGGAACACGTGGATAAGTGTAATTAGTGTTCAGGTTTCATTTCTGTACGCCATATAGACAGTATAATAATAATAATATATATATATATATTTCACATAAATTAAGCATTTACATGATTCACATACTGTTTGTACAGGCATGATCATATTAGACAAGTGTAGTCTGAAATTGAACACTGTTTTATGAAATTAAAATTTGGAAAATGAATAGAAAACTTTACAAGAATAGAATATAAGGTTTTGGTTTAAGTCTAAATTGTAATATTTAATACACTCATAGTGAGTCTAATTCATGCGGGAATTATGAAATTTTGCGTTAATGGAATGTAAGAAGAGAGGTGATATGCATGTGCTGGAGTAAGTCACACTGTATCCAGACCGTTATTTTTATCATTTTGTCAATCAATAAGAGTTCGAAAGTTTATAAAAATCCACATTAGATGGTAAGTACAGCATTATATTGGTATTAGCAGATAGAAGGGAGAGAAAGGGAAAAAAATCCATACACGGCGAAATTCTGCAGTGAATGTGCTCGATATAATTCGTTTGCATTTTATGAATAATGCATCTGACAGAATTTGACGAATAGTATCGATAAAAAGTTTCAACGAATAAGTATGCTTAGTATAATTTGTACAATTACAGCTACTGACTTATCAAACAGACACTCAGCCCACATTTAGTACAAAATAATAATCATTTTAGATTTTTCTATCGATTTATCCACAACTAACGCCGTTCATTAATTGGACAGTTGTAGCTAGCGAGATTTATCTAGTCGTTTGTTTGGCGTAGACTGAATTCTGTCAGTCAGGTTTGCAATGTGGCCACCAATCTAGGTAGCTAGCCATCATGGTGCACTTTGAATTGTTGATATTAGATGGAGAGTGCCAACTAGCACAAAACCTAGGTCGAAAGCTTCCTGAGGATTGCCTCCGATCATCTAACATCAACACCATTCGTCGAAAATTCTGGTGAATTTTATCACAATATCTTACTTTCGTTTTGTCAGAGTTGTGAAAACGTATCAGAAATCTAAACTCTGATTTGAATATTTAAGAGGAAAATGTAGTCAGTCTGTCTCTACTCTGGTGACTTTCTTTTTGACCTGTTTTACCTGTGTCATCCTGGTTGGATGTCACTGTTGACGTAATTTTACACCGCCATTTATTCAACTCTGTTTTACACTTCTCTTTTCTTTTTTCCTTCACGTTCCCAGTGGAACATAGGGCATCAAGCTAGTAGCTCGAAGTTTCTGTAGTAGTGTTTCATTTTACAAGATTGGGTTTCTAGCCTCATGCCCAGCCTTTCCTCTTTACCAGCATTATTTCTGTTTCACATGTCTAAATTAAAATTCAAAGCCGTGATTCACAACGATTGTGTAAATTTCATGTATTACCAGTTTTAGGAAGTAAGAGGGTGTGAGATAAGCAATGAGTGTCAATGGACATCTGGAAGCTAATAAAACACAAAATGATGGCGAAACAGTGTATGAATAAATCCAAAATCTGAGAAACAGAAGCTGATTTCAATGTACACTGCACTGAATGAAGAAGTGAAGAATAGTGGTGAGTAAGACAAAAGACACTTCCGTGACATACTGTCTTGCCACTGAAGCAGAACAGTCAGACCGGAAGTTAAAGAGACCACAGAGCATTATTGTGGATAACCAAGCCCCTATCTGAGCAAAAACCAACTCATATAAGACCTGCAAGACGTGAACCGAGGAGGAGAGACAAGTAAAACAATGTGCTGATCACTTTAAAGGAATCTTGAATCCACCATCACCTGAAACTCTCCCAAAAATACCACAAACAGCACACCAATCCTCTAACAAAAGCAGAAAACTTTAATAAAAGAAGCAGTATGCAGAGCTCCAACAACATGGAACAGGCTGGATTCAAGAAAGGCGAATTGCGTCTCAGGTGATTGGAATTTTCAACACGAATGATAAGTCAGTCGGTTCTTCTATATGGTTCAGAAACTTGGCACGTGTGTCACGAAAATCGTTTTAAATAGGTTTAAGGTTTTCACCCAAAACTGACTTTGCTGACTACACAATGGAGAACTGGATGAGCAGCCAGAAAGAATAAGCAGCATGAGAGTCTGGGAACGAATGAATGAAGAAACTGTCGCTAAACAATTATGCAAAAGAAAATAGAGATTGACTGACCACACACTGAGAAGACCGTCGAATGACATCACACTCAAGGCCATTGGTCGAGTAGAACTCGAACGGGAAACGACGAGTTGGGCGTATCCAAGGGTAATATGAGGGAAATCGTGTGAAGATCAGATAATAGACTGCGTGCTTAGATAAACAGGGCCACAGATAAAAGGACTGAATGGAAATATGCTGCTGAAGCCCTATTTCACACTGTGACCCCAAGGGAGCCATAATAACATCACTTCACAAGACATTGAAGAGTCACTTTCTTCTTAATCTCAACAGCTTGTATTTCCAACGAAACTTTGTGTGAATAAAAAAATTAAAATATGGGGAGACATTCATCGGAAGAACATCTAAAGAGTGATTACACCTGCTCATGCCCTAAGTGATTTGAATATTTTAAACGAAACGCATTCCCCGCATCTATTATTTTTTTATTTTTATTTTATTTTATTTTATTTTTTTATTTTTTTATTTTTGATTACAGCTTGATTCCACACTGTATTTTCGGTACAAGTATGGAATTTTCAGCATGGATATCGGTAGCCCAAAATTCGCAGGCCGACCATAGATATCAGCTGTGCGTCGGCGTGGGCTCGAACCCCGAACCATGTGCATGGTCGATGAGAGTCCTAACCACTGTGCCACCGACGCACCAGGTAGCCTCAATATGGTTCCTTCTGACAGCTGCGGAATATTTCTGATGATTGGAAGCCGCGTGAAAACTGTAATTTTTGGGCACCTTTCGAGGTTATTTCAGAAATGAAATGGTAAGAAAACTAAAAAGAGCAGAAACATTGTCGAAATTAGAAATAATTTTACTGTCACTCGAATCATTACAAGGTCGGATAAATAGGATTTCTGAGTCCACTGTACGCATACACCCATAGGATCACTAAATATAGACTCCAACAGTAACCATAAATATTTCTGGCTGGTAGGACAATATTATCTTCTGGATAAAAATACGTGCCTTTTCCGAACACTGATTTCACTTCTTTTACAATAAGCTGTAAACAAGGAAGACATTGAAAAATACGATGAATCTCTAAGATTTACAGGACTACGTTCAATTTCTATAAATAGATAAAAAAGTGGTAAAGTAATAATAAGACAAACTTGAAACATCTACTTCCGCTCGTAAGATTTAGATATGATAGAGAAGATTTGTAGCTCAGGTGGATAATTTTAATGTGGTTTTGTTCTCTGAGCTGGATGGTTAGTTTGCGAAGCTTTCAAATTGAAGTATGCGCTGAAGATGTCACCCAGTAGGGCGATGAAAGCTTCGCAAACTAACCATCCAGCTCAGAGAAAAAAACCACATCAACATTTACTTCCCGATACGAACTTAAAGCTTTGTTGCATGTTCTGAATCAAACGTTGAACATAACACCATTTGTGAACTTCTTTTCACAGCTTTTCTAAGCGTACACATGGAGAATCTTTGGAAACCACCCAGAATCTTAAGTGCTTAGATGAATGAAATTTTGTTATCTTCACTTCTCAGCACTTGGTTAGCATTTAGTTAATGTTGTCTTTGACATTTTATTTAAATCAGGATTAATTACCATTTGAAAACGAATATTCAATATACTTATACTATAATTGACTTCCTACTAATAGAAACAAACAGTTACGTAGCTGTCTGAGAAAGTAGATATAACCGAGAATAAGTCTCAGTGAGTTCAGCTGGTCACAACTGGCTGGTTGGCAAGACTCCTCAGATTGTTGGTACGTGAGAACATATGGCAGAGAAGTGCTAGAAATCTGTGCGGGCAGATGAACTGGGAGACGACTCTTCAAATTGTTAATTGAAGGGTCGATAATCTATTCTGATCATCTAGTAAACCACCACAAACACACTAAGTGCGTGTGTGTGTAACCAACACAATTGAATTTTCGCACGAACTGAAAATAAGTTTTCACAGGGGTAATGAAAATAATATTTTATTAAAACAGCAGATGGTCAACAGTGTTTGGATTCTGTTCACCCACTAAGTAAGCAACTGAAGAGATGAAGCAAGAAAACTAACCAGATGAATTCTCTTGTTTACTATTTTGATCATTGTTTGGCGCTTCATGATCCAACCAACCAGTATGTCGAATCAAGGGAGGCTAGCATTCGCCTTGACACTCCATCAAATACACTCACACACAGTAGTGATGTATTAAGCGTGAGTAGATTTCTTGACCATAATAACTATCGACTCAATGAATTTGCGAACTTCAGTGATAAGAGGCGTGACTGATATGTTTAAAAGAAACTAGATCATGACAAAACAAAATGTTGCATCGGTGGCACAGCGGCTAGGACGCTCGCCTACCATTCACATGGTCCGGGGTTCGATCCCTGGCCGACGCACTCCTTTACCTCGCTAAGCCAGAAATAATTCTGGTAAAGAGGATAGGTTGGGCATGGAGCTAACAACCCCATCCTTTAAAAGTAAGCACTGCTACAGAAACTTCAAGCCACTAAAAAAACTTTTTTTTAATGTTGAACAACATTCAACTTACATAACATGTGCATGGAAATCCAATACTCCCAGCAACAACCAAAGCGACCTAATGTAGATAAAAATGTGTAGAGGGTATACACCTTTAGAAAAGAGATAATGCTAGTCAAAAACAGTGTGTTTATTCTGATAAGGAAATTAAGTTATCATATAATTTAATGACTAATAAACTAGAACTCGATCCATAAAAGTTAAAAATTATATGTTCATACTTCAAATTCCCTCATTTTCAGTTCTTTTTACACAATTAACTTTATTAAGAACTTGAACGCTGCCAGGTTATAAAGTGCTTAAGATATGAAAATAAAATGCGATTTCAATATACATTGGAACGATTCAAAGAAATGAAATATGAAACTCTCGATTCAGTAATTAGAATGAAGAATTTGAATAGCATAAACTCTGATGAGCAGGCCTATGGAGGCGATGAATTTTCCGTCCGATGGATGAAAAATATTTCCTACTACCTCTCACTCATTTATCACAGTATTCAGTGTTTCTTTATCGACTGTTAGTCTAAATCCCTGGGGTTATTTCGTAATAGTACGCAGATCAAAGAGTCTAGAAGCTTCAAAACTGGGACAATGTCACTATCCCATTGACTTTGTTCCCCTCAAAATCGTGTGTACACATCCGGAGGTCTACACAAGTTCTCTACTAATTTGAGTAGTCAATGGAAAACATTCAGCTGTTTAATGATTTAGTAATTATCTGAATAAGTTACAAAGAAATGTCATGGATGTTGAAATTGATGGTTCACGCTTACAACACACGTTAATGCAATTCAAATACCTTGCGTCTGAGACAGTCCTTTACTGAATATCAAAAATTCCATTCAACTCAAATTCCAATTCCTTATTTTTAAGTTGCAAATTTTGAGGTAAGAATCCACTATAGTTACCGTGGTAAGATTCAAATCACATTTTTGGCTCTTTTTGATATTCTCAGAAAACATGAAAAGATCAAAACAGACCAATGTATATTTTCCAACTTACTTTATTCTCCCTTCTCAGGAAGAAAGCGATTTGACCAGCTGATATTGTTACAGCAAATACAACATGTGCTACCCTGGTTAGTACACTTACAGTGAAGTCATTGAAGATGAATATTGCGAATGACACAATGACTTGCAACATCGTCCACATGAATGCGAATGCAATGAATGGGACATCGTCAGTGTATTCTAAGGATTCAGTCGCAATTATGAAAGAGCACAGGAGAGTCTGAAATGATGAAGAAAAGAAGGGAAAATTAATGGTAAGACAGTAAATGCTCACTAGGAGCTCAAAATATTGGAAACTTCAAACACGAGAAAGTGGAGATTATTTGTAACTTTTATTTATCTCATTATCTTCAACTATATATATGTATATATATATATATATATATATATGTTTGAAGTAGAAGATGCAGAATGGTTAACTTTCTTTGACGGCAGATGAGTGCCTTTCACTTGCTGTTTTAGGTTAGTGATATGGAAGGTGGGAGTACAGTTCTAGTTGAAGAAGGGAAGACAATCGATGAGATTGTGAAACTTTGTCGACTGAGATGTCTAGGGCCCATGCAGAGTCACCACCTACTTCGTTAAGCCATTCCAGCCGACATAGGATTAGGTTAGGCAGAGTTGGAAGTGGACAAATCAAAATCTGTCTTCAGTCCATTAAGTCTTTGACAGTTGGTTTTAAATCAATGAAGGAAGTGTGTTTACTGACTTGTGTGGGTTATCGGGATGTTGAGAACCAGTGGCAAGAGACTGTTTGTGAAATGCTCCAGAATAGCTCTCATTGCCGTAGATGCACTTACTCTTTGTGATCTAACGTCTCCATTAAACCACTGTGTTTTCCCATGTCACAGTTCTTTCTTCCCCGCATTTTTGCTCATTATACTTTCTTCGAATATGATGTTTCTTTACTTTTTCTACCTTTTTATGCTACATGTAGATTGGCGCTTCTGCTAAAACATCTACGCTGAAACTCAGTCAGTTATAAAACAGTTATTCACACAAAACCAGACGACTGACTCGAGGTAGTTTTGTGAACGAAGCTCGTGATTAGCACCCCTTGTGACTAGTCTTTTCGAGATTATTTGGTTGAACCTTAAGTGTGGTATTTATTCCTTACAGTTGCCATTTTAATATGCATTACACAATGTTTAGTATGATGTTTCTACTCCATCTACAGTATCGTCAATTAAAATAGTATTGCATTTGACTGAGTTCTGAAGCATGTTTCAAATCTCGACGCTTTGTTTTCTTTGAGACATGTTCAATGATATTCTGGAAACAATTCATAGATGTACATGAGTACAAATTACCCTTTATGAGTAAAATTAGATGCTTAAAACGAAGAGAAAGGCAGTAAATTCGATGTATCATACTGTATGAAAAACTAAGTAGCCAAATGATATAAGCCACCTGACCGAAAGCGTTTATATAACTTTTGAACTACACCGAAATTCTAATGAATAAATAAATTCGTTTTCCTTATCTGTACAATCACACACACACACACAAGTATGCATTGTGTATTCTCGTTATTATTAGTATTATTAATAATATCGTCATTTCTTGACCAACTAATTTCGAATCGATTAAATGAATTCTAATGACTTCTGAATTTTTTTCTGTACATTACTGCGAAACGGGTTTTTGTGTTGTTAGTTGATGAGTGTTTCCTTACTGATCATTTGCGAAAATTAATCAAATTCCCCTAGAGATCTCTGATAAGAGTAACTGGTTTCTTTACGTGTCAGATGTTAATGATTGCGTTATAAGATTGCATTCACTGTGGTTTCCTTAAGCTAAAATCTCTAAGCTCATCTTCTGTTGAGTATAATACGGTGCGTGTGTTCTGACATCACGAATCCAATTTTTTTGTTTTAGGCTGTCTGCAGCTGATGATAAACCTCAATATAATATGTACACCTCTTATATTGCAAATCTTCTTGTGGTTTTGTCGGATATTTATCAATGGGAAATTTGTGTCAGCTTAGTGCTGCATGAATTCGTTAAGTGGAAAAAATTAGTAGAAAAGGAGAACGAAAAAATTCGTCATCTGTGATGACGGTCACGATCTCAATCAACTATTGCAAATATTCAACAAATACCATCCAGCCACAAAGTTCACTCTGGAAAATGAAAATGAATCTGAAATCCCTTTCCTTGATGTTGAGCTTACAAGGAGACATGACAGGACTTTAAGAAGGTCAATTCATAGGAAACCCACTTGGAACGGACAATTGACAAGTTTCTACAGCCGGGTACCAATCAGTCGGAAAAGAAACCTGATTAAATCCCTTGCCACTCACGTCAGACCCATCTGCAGCTCCGACAACATGGAAGAAGAACTAAACTTCCTGAGGGAAATCTTCATACAAAATGGCTACCCACCAAGATTCGTAGACATAAACGTCAAACAGAAAAACCAAAAGCAAGAGACACCATCCGTGCCCAAAAAGATACTTTATATGAACCTAGACTTCAAAGAGACCTACTTAGTGACGTCCTCAGAAGGAGAATTTTCACCTTTTTATAAAGAACTTTCCCTGCGGCAACATTAAGAACAGTGTTCTCCAGTCGCCCGCTGATCTGCAGAAACCCAAAGGACAAGATTCTGTACATGACCACTTCTATGTGTATATATCAGTTTGACTGTTGCTGTGGAGCCACGTACATCGGTCGTTCAACGCGCATCCTGTCAAAAAGGGTCAAAGAACACTATCCAGCGTGGCTAGAGAAAGGACGTAATGGCCATATAAGGAGTGCAATAATCGAACATCTCGTCAACACTGGTCATTCCATCTCAACAAACGCCTCCTTCAAATTAATCTACAAAGTGAAGAACAACCTTCCAAAGACAGTACGACTCCGTCTTTTTTGTATCGCAGAAGCCCTAGCCATTCACTTGGTGGAACCAGAACTATGCATACAAAAGAAAATTATCCAACCACTTCTACTCGCACAGTAACAACTCCGCTGATTTGACCTAACTTTTGTTTGTTTGTTTGATTTGACCTTACTTTTGTTTGTATGCTTATTTTTCTAACTGAAAACCCTTGTGTAATTCTATATATTATTTTGTTTCCATGTACAACCTGAGTACAACTGTCTCACCAAACCAGTCATGTCATTACGTAACTCTTCTTTAACAATCGGTTGTGACAACTCATCACTTTTGTTACTATCCTCTTATATGAACATCCAATTCATCTGAACTTACTAATTGTATTTTCGTTTGACAAATTTAATGTATACACACACACACACAAAACAACCATATATATTTGCGATTGTACAGCTATGAAAATGAATTCGCCGAAAAGAGACTCTTCGTTAAACTACCTGTCTTTTGTCTATAAATGAGTAATCTGTTTGGTATATTGTGACTGTTTATCATTATCTAATATCTATAACTGTATATTTAGTTTGATTTACATGTTCAAATTGGCTCAAGTCAGTGAGTCTATGATTTAAGTAACTGTGCTTAACTGCCACATTATTATTATTGCTGTCGCTTGTTGCCCTTTTTGATGTGAATTATTTTCCTTTAGCCGGTGTTGTTCTGATTGTTTTATTCCTTGTTATCCGGCTTTAAGAGGAGTGAGCCACAAGGTCGCTTCTCTCTAAACTTTATCTTAATGTAACAATCCGTATCTCAGGCGTGAGGGTGGCAACCCCACCCTATAAACCAAGTTGCTACAAAAACTTCAGCACGATGAATCTCTTTGCGCCAAAAGAAAAAGTCTGTGTCGGGACATGGAACGTCCGCACCGTGTAGGAGATTGGCAAAGCTGCCCAGATCGCAAGCAAAATGAAAAGATACAGTATTCAAGTACTGATAATATGTGAAAGCAGATGGAACGGGAATGGACTCACCAAATTGTCAACGGGTGAGTCAGTGATCTACTCCGGTCACCCAGAAGATAACCACACGCACACCGAGGGCGTGGCTATCATGATGTCACCAACGGCAACAAAGGCCCTGATGCAATGGGAGGCGATCTCGTCCAGGATAATGACCGCCAGATTCAACTCCAAAGGAAGGAAAGTGTCAATCATACAATGTTATGCACCCACAAACAACGCAGACCTCGAAAAGAAAGAAGAATTCTACAGGCAACTACAGGCAACAATGGACAATACTCCAGCTGGCGACATGAAAATACTAATGGGAGACATGAACGCCAAACTGGGACCAGACAGCACAGGAAGGGAACTCATCATGGGTAGAGAAGCTCTCGGAGAAATGAATGAAAACGGAGAACTCTTCGCCGACTTCTGCGCCTTCAACGAACTAGTGATTGGTGGCAGTGTATACAAGCACAAAGATATCCACAAGGCTACATGGGTGTCACCAGACGGGCAAACCAAATTGACTTCATCTCAATCTCAAGGAAGTGGAGGCGCAGCCTACTGGACACAAAAGCAAGAAGAGGAGCAGACGTTGGCTCAGACCACTATCTCGTACAAGGGACAATCCAAATCAAATTAAAAGCTTTCAGGGAAACAGGAGCTGCAGATAGACCACAAGCCAAGTTCAACACTCAAAAGCTGAAGGACCAGGCTACAAAGGACATCTTCATTGCAAGCATAAGGGAAAAAGCCGAGACACAAATCAACACCAGCGAAAGGTCAGCGTCGAAAAGCACTGGAAAAACTTGAAAACGGTGTGGAGTCAAACCTGCATGGCAGTTCTAGGCAGAAAGAAGAGACAGGACAAACAGTGGCTCACTACGGACACTTGGAAACTAATAGAAGAGAGAAGGACAGTGAAACAAAAGATTATCCAGTGCACCGACGAGCAACAAAAACAGGAGTTGAATGCAAGCTACAATACACTGAACAAAAGAGTGAAGAAGAGTGCCAGGGAAGACAAAAGAAAATATTATGAAACCATGGCAAACGAAGCAGAACAAGCTGCAGGCAAAGGAGACCTCGCCACACTCTACCAAACAACTAGGCACCTATCGGGAAAAAGTTCGACACAGATTAAGCCAGCAAAGGATGACAATGGAAAGTCAATCACCAAAGAGGTGGAGCAAAGAAAACACTGGGCTGAACACTTCAAAAGACTTCTAAATCGTCCGCCACCTACAACGCGCCTAACAATACCAACAACGGAAGCAGAACTACCAGTGAACGTTGACCCCCCGACGAAATCAGAAGTCCTGAATGCAATCAAGATGCTAAAAGCTGGAAAAGCAGCAGGACCAGATGGAATCCCAGCAAAAGCATTGAAAACGGACCCAGAGACAACAGCGGACTTGATGACACCATTGCTGGAGAAGGTGTGGAAAGAGGGCAAAGTACCCGAGGATTGGAAGAACGGATACTTATTCAAACTACCAAAGAAAGGGGACTTAAGTCAATGTAAAAACTGTCGCGAATTATGCTCCTGTCCATCCCAAGCAAAATACTAAGCCGCATCATCCTGAAGAGAATCAAACAAGCCAAGCTGGATGAAAAACTTCGACCGAAACAGGCTGTATTCAGGAGAAACAAGTCATGTATTGATCAAATCGCCACTCTACGGATCATCATTGAACAAAGCTTGAAATGGTAGTCACCTCTCTATCTCAACTTCATCGACTTTGAAAAGGCCTTCGATAGCTCAGCGTCGATCGAGAGGTCATTTGACAACTACTTCGCTATCACGGGGTGCCATCGACAATTATACATCCCATCCAACAGTTATATGAGAATGTTGCATGCCAAGTAATCCACAATGGGAAACTTACGGACGCCTTCGAAGTGAGGACGGGAGTGAGACAAGGCTGCCTACTATCACTAATGATTTTCCTGATTGCAGTAGATTGGATAATGCGACAGACAACGGGCATTGAGGAAACAGGCATAAAATGGACTCACACAAAAAGGGAACTTGGAGGATCTGGACTTCGCCGATGATGTATGCCTGATTTCCCACAAACTGGAAGATATGCAAGTGAAAAGCAACAAGCTGGCAGAAGAAGCATCAAGGATAAGAGGGACTTCAGGTGAACATAGATAAAACAGAGGTGATGAAGATTCCTGGCCAACAGCAACAACTACAGACAACAATCAGCCAGCATCAATGGGAGGAATCTGAAAAAGACAACCTCCTTTACCTACCTACCTATCTGGGAAGCATCGTTTTAACTACAGGCGGAACTGGCGAGGATATCAAAGCAAGGATCGGAAAAGTCAGATGAACTTTCATTACTCTCAAATCTGTATGGAGGTCAACAGCAATCACCATCAAAAATAAGATCCGGATTTTCAACTCCAATGTGAATTCAGTGCTACTAACTGTATGGATCAGAGACTTGCATGGTGCGTCATAAAAAGCATCTCAAACCAACTTCAGACCTTCAATAACAGTTGTCTTCGCTCAATACTCAAGATCAGATGGCCGGCCAGAAAAGATCAGCAACAGGGATCTCTGGCAATGAGCGAACCAACCAGGAACCGATTGTGAAACAAAAAGACAGGAAGAAATGGAGACGGATCGGCCAAACTCTGAGGAGACAGACCATCAAGCCATTGTGGAACCCAAAAGGGAAGTGGCGAGTTGGTAATTAGTGCAAAGGTGACTTGGATGAGATCATGTGAAGAGGAGATGAAAGAACGTGGGCAGACTTGGGGCGGGGTGAAAAAGTTGGCAGAAAACCGAAGGCAATGGAGACACGTGGCTGAAACCTTATGGTCCTCTAGGAATTAAGGGATATAATAATAATAGATGAGTAATGACGTAAGTTATGGCGAGTCTTCAGTATCTTGTGATCTCCACACCCAATGGAATGTTCTAGTGTCATCAAACGTCAATAGTAACGAGATAAACATATTTTCAAAATCAGAGTTGTAGCATAATGCAGCTGACCGATTAGACTCCAAAATTAATGAACAAAATAAAACGGATGATCTGATGTTTAGATATTTAACAAGCGAACATTTCAATTAGATTTAAAGGTGTTTGCTTACTGTTACTATCAAGTACAAAAGATTCCAGGGGAATACTTTTGAAACTGTTTTCACAAATGCCCAAACAAATTCCATGACGAAGTAAATCGCGCTATACATGTGTGAAAGAAGACACACGAAAAAGTATTGTTAAGTGGCTGAATGAAATGTTAGATATTTTCGAGAAATAACTGAACTCACATATTACATAATTTGTTTCATCTCTCTATATCAAACTATGATTATAATCACGTTATTATGCATATTTACAATTCTGATGTGATTTTCTCACGGAATATAGTTTCCTTAGTATATATATATATATGTATATATACTGTGCTAGATTTAGCATCCAACACCAGTCTGCTATCATCAGCATTAAACCTTCTGTCCAATCTCTCATTGATGTGTGTAAGTTAGAGGATGACAGCAGCGGTGGAAACTTCCTTGAGTTCACGCACCATTCGATGTATGTACTATGACTGAATGATCCCTAACAAGCTAAGTGACATCGGCAGACTGGTTCAATCTCAACTGTAACATAACTGATCCTTCTATTTCTTCAGTCTCCTCTTGGTGCCATCGAGACTTGCTTTCAAATGAATTTGTAGGTGAGGATTGAACTATACTACTTGGCAAATTAATAGTCAGGCCAAAGATCTAGACTTCATACTCCATTTAATTCACATCGTTCTGTATTATTGATCATTTACAATTTGTGTCAGCATGCGAGTTAGTGTTTCAGATTATTGTCACAGTATTGCTACTTACCCACAATACTTTATTTCTCATTTCTAAATTCTTGATCCGCTAATTTAAGATTTGCTCAACATTTATTCAGTTCTTTTTGTAGCTGATGTGATGTGAGTTACGCCAGTGTTTATTCGTTCCGCAAGAATCTATCACACTTTTGACTGTCGGGTCACACGAAAATGCAACCTCAAATACTTATACCATAACACTCAAGGTTTGCACAAACATAAATGCATTTATTCAGTTGATCACAAAAGTGCAAAGAATCCAATAACATGATAACTAATAGTACCAGTAACAATGCTAAATCAAAGTCTACCTACCTGATCACATACAGAAATTTAGTGTGGTTTGTGACCCAAAGTGAGATTTTCAATCTATAGAGAATATTATTTTTAAGACATTCAACTGACTATGCAACATACTGTTGTGTGATTAAACTTGTCATACCGAATGTGATCCACAATTGGAAAACAATAATTGCGAATACCTGATGGGAAAAAATAATGAAACCGAAAGCCGTTTATAAGGAATAATACAGAACATGTTTGTGGCATGACAAGCATGGAGTTGACTAAGAGTGACTCACACATTCTGCCGATGTCGAACAATCGTTTCTTATCACAGATGGACCTATGAAATACGAACCAGAAAAGAAAGCAGCTCAAAAACTGAGATGTATCACAACAGTGAGATATTTCACATTGGAAATGCGCATAATCCATGATGAAGATTTACAAGATTCATGTTTAAGAGTCATTTTGAGACGGATTACTTGAATTAACAAAGTTAACGTTGAACGGAATTACAATAGAAATGATGCAATCTGAGATTTCATCAAGTGAGAACACAGGCAAAGTTAGGGTGAAAAATGAGGTGAATATCATTCAGATTGATAGCATGCAGTTTCCCTCGCTAATTAACTATTGATAGATGAATTCCAAAAGCTACAAGTGGGCAGTCACAAAGATGAATGATATACACTGTTTGGATCTTCTGCATGACATGCTGTTATCGTCATGAGCATAATGTGGTGTGAATAGACAGTCGTGAACGTAATAATTGGAACTGCTATTCTCCTCTGCGAAGATTAAAGTAATGTAACAATCACATTCATGGTAAAAATAAGGACTGAGACATACAACATCCATACAATGTACGAGGCTAGAAAAGCTGACTAGATGGACAAAGAGACAAGAAGACACGGTATAAAAGGGCTATAGATATGTGAAAGCAGATGGAATGCGTGTAGACTTTCCAGATTGTTAACAGGAGAGTCATTAATCTACTCCAATCACCTAGACGGAAACCATGAGCACCCCAGAGTAAATGCAATCATAATGTCATGCACAGTGGTTAGGACTCTCGCCGACCATACATATGGTCCGGGGTTCGAGCCCGCACCGACGCACAGCTGATATCTATGGTCGGCCTGCGAAATTTGGGCTACCGATATCCATGCTGAAAATTCCATACTTGTACCAAAAATACAGTGTGGAATCAAGCTGTAAATCAAAAAAAAAAAAAAATGACCAACAGCCAAAGCTCTTTTGCAGTAAGAAACAACCTCCTCCAGGATAATGACAGCAAGATTCAACTCGAAAGGAAGGAAGGTTAAAATTATCCAATTCTACGCACCTAAAAAACAACACAGAACAAAGGAAGAAGGGAGATTTCCACAGACAACTACAAACAGTTATATGTAACCAAACCAAGTTCATTTTTAACAGTTTCAACATTGGGTATATGATATTCATTATTATTAAGAGTTTTGTATTTCATTCATTGGGAAATATCAAAACCTTTATAATAACCGCAAACAGTAATGGATAACTTCTCAGATGGCCACATTCAAATCCTTGTGGACAGTATGAATGCCAAACTAGGAGTAAACGTTATAGGAAGGAAAGCAACCATGGGTTGAGAGGGTTTCGGAGAGATGGATGACAGTCAAGGAATATTCACAAAATTCTGTCTGTGATCAAAGCTTCGCAAATGAACCATCCAGCTCAGGGAACACAACCACATCAAAGTGATCAAAGTCAGTAACATGGATTTCACCCGTCTGATGTCGGAAAACAGAAATGCTTCCTCTTAAGAAAGTAAAGAATCAGTCTGCTGGACACAAAGTTGAGAGGGGCGCAGATATGGGCTCAAACCACTGTCTAGTTCAGTGTAAATTCAAAGTCAGACTCAAAGCCTTCAAAGGAGCTGGAGGCAGACCACAATTTAAGTTCGCTACACAGTGGGACCTCACGGAATTCCCCTTGAAGTACTGGAAACCAATCTATAGACTGCAGCGGATGTTCTGAGGCCGTCAGTGCAAAACGTTTGCAGGATGAAAGGTTATCTTGTCGAACTACTAGAGAAGGGTGACTTAGGCCTCTGCAAGAACTGATTGGATCAGAATCGCACTTTCGCGCAAGCGAAACAAAATATTTAGTCACATCATCACTATATCTGCATTGGATGCAGAACTCCGTCCTGCATAGAAAGCTGGATACTTGAAAAGCAAAACATACGCCGATCGAACTGCAAGTTTACGCTTCATCACCGAACGGAGTTTTGAACACTAGTCAAATCTCCATCTCAACTTCATCAATTCCGAAACGGCCTTCGACAGCGTTGACCACGAAGTTATTTGGAAATTACTTCAACAATACGGTTTGTTTCAAATCTTTATCAACATAATTCAACAGCTTTATGACAATGCCACATGTGAAGTGAGTCAAGTTGGAAAACTCATTGAAACAGTCGATTTGAAGACAGGAATAATACTATGGTGATCGTATTGCCAATTGTATTCTTAACTGTGGTGAAATGAACCATGTGGCTAAGTGTGGTTGGAGAGCAAAAATAACAGGAATATTTTGAACCAACAAAAAGACTCTAGAAGATCTGAGACCACTTTGGAAGTCCTCTGTCTCGATATTAAGACATTTCTCCTACGTGGGTCAGAAACTTGGTGAGTGCTCCATGAAAATTACATGGAACAGGTTGCAGACGTTTATTAACACCTACCTTCACTGGCTTCGTACTGGAGATAAGATGAGTGACCAGAAAACATTATCAACAAGGAACTTTTGTAACAGGCCGACCAAGAAGAAAGTGGAGATTTATCGGATATATAAATATGCCAGAGCAAACTGAAGAAGACTGGGGAGAAATGGACAAAACGTAGATGTGCTGTTGGAGCCCTATGTTCCACTTGAAACTAAATTTAACAATAATAAATGGTGTTTTTTTACCTGTATCAGAAATCTAATAGTGATAACTCATTGGTCGTATGGTGAGTTAATAATCTGAAGCTAGATAATGTCAATAAAAAGAAATCAGTCACTAGTGGTGTTCGTTACTCTGAAATGTAAGATGTCACTGAATAGCAATTTTGAACACCATACATGATAAATGTGTGTGCTAATGTCAAGTATATCCATAGCACAGATATTTCGAAAACTAGCAACGAAATGTTAGTGTGTGGCCGTACTAAAGACGATGTTATTGAGTTGAATCAACCCGTAAAATACTACATTATGGTGGTTTACATTTTAAAGTCGCCTTCAAATCACGAGTTTCGCATAGCGTCGCTGAAAGTGTACAACAGAGAAGTAAAAAAATTCAGAAAAGATTATCATTTCCTCAGAATTTCACATTGAAAATATTCGTGAGGAGCCTATTTCGTTTAGTGATTTGTGTTTGGATTGAACAGTATAGTCCACCGTTTCACAAATTACTTGACCACTATCTTTGATGTGACGTAAATACCCTTGGAATATGTGGCCATGTCTGTATCAGTCACAGTGTGATGAAATGTGTCTGCTCACCACATATAAAAACTTCCGATATTTTATAATGTATGATTATCTACGACCTTAATATCGGTTAATTAAATTCCTTGAGTAACACAGAGGTAATGAATTACATGTATATGAATGACAACAAGGTAGTCAATAATTCATAATCAAAAGCTCGGCTCACATTCAATATATAAATAATCCGGGATTTCGTTATCTGTCTTTTAGAAATTCTCACTTGTCGAAAATGTTTACAATATTTTTGGTGTGAAGTATCAGAGTTAACAGGAGTTTCATATACACAAATCTCACACATTTATTCTGAATGAGAACGTTGAAAGCAGGGTAGAGAGAGGATGATAAATAAAAATTTGCATTTGTTTGCTTCGGCTACATCTTACCTGTCAGTGTTTATAAATATGATTCAATATTGTTTTGGAATGCTTAGACATTTATAGAGTTTTTAAATCAATTAAGTCTTATATCAAATATTATATCATACGGTTGAGTAGCGTTTCATTGAGTTATGGTTGTTTTTGTTTTTATTAACTGTATCCAGAAATTAGTTTTGTCTGCACAAATGCTGCACTATGGTCAGACGACCACCTACTCAATCAAATGAACTTTGTCCAATATTTCAGTAAAGAATTAATAATGAATATTGTTTTCAATCGTTTGTAAAACAAAACAAACTGAAATATGTTGGTAGAAATTACATATTGAAAGTCTGATTGGTGTATGTAAATGAAATGATGTGAATTGAGCCATAACAAAAACATGGCGTCATCAATCCATGAAATCCTTGACAGTTAAACTGAGTCAGATAGGGAGATGCAGACTTCCGGGTTGGGGCCCTCGGGACTCGAGGAATCAATGGCTGGAGACAATAGGTGACATGGCTCAAAATCGTTGTCAATGGCTAGCGCAGATGTATTCAGTCTCTGTAATCTTTCATATTCCTTTCTACCATTACCCATTCTGATCACTCTTATACTTGTCAAACTCTATTGATTCCCTTCACTCATCTTCTTGTCTACTTTTGTGTGCTATTTGGAACGTGGCAACTCGAACTGTTGCACTCCGGTGCCAAGTTCTATGTTGAATCCAGACAGACAGACAGACAGAATTGAGCCATGCATTGTTTATTGCGTAGTTTTTTAGAGAGAGAACATGATTAAGGTTGAAGGATTCTACCTATTACTAACACTTAAATCTTCACAATTATGCTCAGTCAGATGCACATAGCGTCTGGTCAAAACACTGTGCATACTAATGAAAGCTATATGCCCAGGAAATTTAGGAAAAACTTTCTTTTGATTAAGTCGTGTTCTCTAAGCTGGCCGATTTAGTTGCGAAGCTCTAGTCGTCATTCTGGACAACATCTTCAGGGTAAGTTTTAGCACAAAATGAACTGATTTGAATTCTCCATGAAGTGTAATTTCGTCTCCTTGCAACTACCTTCGCTACTGGTTGATGTACTTAATTATGGTGGACTGAAGTATGCGTCAGACTCTGCATTGGGAACAAGGAGACAGAAATACACTAGACCACAGATAAGAAGACTCTAGCAGATCTGGATTTCGCGTCTGGATGATATGTGTCTAGTTTCACACAAACTCGAAGACTTACAGCCGAAAACCAACAAACTGACTGAAGAAGCAGCTAGCGAAGACAAGACTCCGGGCGAACATATAGAAGACGGAGGCGATTGAGATAACAAAAGAACCACCACCACAACAACAACAACAAAGACCAACACCAATCACCATCAACAGAAGAGACTTTACAGTGGTTACGTCCTTCACTTATCCAGCTAGAAAGCATCCTTTCAACTACAGGAATTCGGAATGGATGAAGTTGTAAAAGCGAGCCAGTCAGAATGAGAAAGGAAAGATACACACGCCTGCATCAACCTGAAACCAGTTTGGAAATCTTCTGCACTAAGTGACCATAAAGACCGAGATTAGGATTTTCAATGCCAATGACAAGTCGGATATTCTATACATGTGAGAAGCTTGCATTGTGTGTCCCATTAAAAATTTCCCATTGCTTAAAGACTTTCCTCAACAACTGTACCCTTCTCTCCCTGCATACTGAATATCAAATGGCAGGTCAGAAAGAATCGCGCATCAGACCATCTCTCGAGTGGAGTCCGAGTGAGAAATGGTGACTTGAGCGTTCAGGAGTGAGTTGGAGCGGATTGTGTATGGATGAGCGCATAGACTATGGGCAGCTGTGAAGACAGACGAAGAGGATTGAATAGAAGTTGACGAAATGTAGGTGTGCTGTTGAAGCCCAATTTTTCGCTTAGAACCCAAGGGAACAATGATAATTATATATTAATATGTCTTCTGTGGATCACCTATATTGCGTTTCATACGTTTACTGAGGAATGCCGATGATCAAGCATTCTAAACTGGAGTATTACGAAAAGACCCCAGTCCTGTGTTGATTGTTCCCTCCGCGAATATGAGACTGATTTCTGTGAGAGGGAATTTGTTAGGGTTTCTCTTTTACCGAATTGAGAAGAGCTGTAGAAGTTAGTAAACTTAGTAAGAATAAAGTCTTTAAAACAATTATTTCCTTTATAAATTTAGATGAAGCAATAAGAAGAGGTGATTTGTTTGAATCGTGTAATGTATTTGCGCAACACATTTCAAACAATCTGATCACACACGGACTTGAAATTAATAAAGAGGTAAGAGGTGGGAAAATAGACTTAGGTCAAGTTAAAAGGACACACTGAAGGTTAAAATAACAATGAAGACCACCAAACCAAATAGCAGAGGTAATAGTACATCTGCTATGGTATCAAAACAAAATTTACCGAGGAGGGTTTAATGTGATGACGAATTGTTTTTGAACGCATAGAAGTTGTTTAAATATTCTAATTGCTAGGGCTTCACAAACATTAGGATAAGCCCCAAAACACGTTTTATGGATGCTTTTAAAAGATGTGTTAACGACAAATTTATGTCCTGTCTCTATAATATGTTTCGCAATAGAGAAGCTGGGTCTCCTGTTCTCACCATTAATGGGTCCCGAAGATTCCATCTGTTTCTGAAACCATTTAGGAATATGCTCTGAAGCCCTTACTTGCAGAGATCGATGAGTCCTCCCTATGTATGTGTGTCCAGACGTACATTCAAATTGGTAAATACAGTGGGATGTGACGTCATCTTTCTCATGTTCGAAGGGCTTAGATAGAGAGATATTGGCTTCACATTCTCAGTTACTAAGATATTAGCTGCATAAAAAGTCTTTTTAATAGCAGTCTTCAGTTTTTGTCTAGTTATCAAGCTGCTATGATGCCCCATATAGGGTAGCTTGATGTACACGGCTTTCTTAGGTGAGAGTTGGAGAGTGGGTCTTGGTGTTCTGACTACTTTATATCTCCTGATGAACTTGTCTGTCAGTGAAGGCAGCTGTTGATAAAATTCTGATGGTTGTTTGAAATGCTTTTAATCACGCGTCAGCCCACTTGCTTACCCGTGAAGGAAAATCGTCTTAAGAGTGGTAGTGAAAATCCTAACCTTCTTCTTTATGTTGAGTACAGGTTGCTAAACTAATTTCAGAGTGATTAACGTCTGTCTTGGGTTTCCGATTCTGGTTTTGACAACTTCATCCGTCCTGCCTACAATTAAAATAATGCTGCTCAAATAAAAGGAGGAAATAACCTCTTTCAAATCCGTTCCCTTAACAGTATTTGGTGATTGTTGTTGTTATTTTGGTTGGTTATCTTCGTCACCTCCGTTATTTCTGTGTTCTCTCGCGGTCCTGAAGTTGCAGCTCGTTGAAGATAGGAAATTGTTTGTCCACGGTAATGAAATCGATTGGGTAGTTTGAAGCCATCACTCTTATATTTTAAAATCAAAAAATGAATGCACTGACATAACAGTGTGGGAATTCCGTATATACTCCATAAAGACGTCTAGGTTTAAAATATTGTCTCTTCTATTTTCCTAGGTGCTAAACTTTATTGCAATATACACAGTATTAAACTTTTCAAGGAAGTCCATTACTTTATCCCCATCTTTATTAATTAAAACTAATCACCCAGATATTGACTGCAGAATTACAATTCACTAAACTGCTTTTTCAAAGGTCGATTCTTTGATTTCTCAGATAAGAAATCAGGTACGACTGGAACTAGCCAAACTTTTAGCTTGTATATAAAATATGTTATTGAGGAAGGAATGGAAAGTCACTATAAGTCTTAAGAGAAGTTTCTTCATAAAGATACAGAGGTTTCAAAGATTTCAGTAGGAAAAACTTCTCAGTTAGACATTTAGAAGACAGAAGGAATGAGCGACAAAATATTTACTTTTCATCTGCATCATCTCTGGCACTACTCATATTACTGAGTGAATTCAATGTCAACTTAACAAGTGTGAAGAGGATGTAAAAATGCACAAAAGTGGCATATGGGAGTGAGAATATTGAAATACTTATTGAAGTAAAGGCAAACTAAAAGTGAAACTGAAAATATAAAAAAATTAAAATGTTTTACAGGGAACGACCAGTGAAGAGGTAAAGTGGATGACAGAATAGGAGACCGGACAAACGTTTTCTGTATACAGAGTTCAGGTTTGTATTCATGAATTGCTAGAGCCCCCACCATACACAAAAGCCGAAACCTGACGCCCTTTGTACCATTTGGCTTCACTTTGTAGATGATGTTGAAAGACGACTCTGGTGGAGCTACGTGGCCTGAGTTCACCAAATGCTCGAGAATTGAGCTAGTAATTGTCTCGCACTATTCCTTTGCTAACCATGCCGGATAATGTTCAGAGATGCATTTGAAAATTGTGCGCTTTGTGCGGCCAATGTAACTAGCTCTAAACGAGCCGGTGAATTTATAAACACACATTGAATTATCCCAAAGCGTCCTTCACACGTTCACTGATCCTTTGTCGGCTGTAGAAGCTGATCCGTAGCTCAACCGTAAAGAAGGCTTTTCTCAGTGATCTCCACGAGATGTCCGGTATCAACACTATGAACACATCCCAAGAAAACTGTGCTTGAAAGGAAGCAAATATTCTCCGAGTGCAATTACCAGATATGTAGTTGATACCGGACATCTCGTGGATATTTCTAAGTCCTTCAAAATATTAAATAGACAAAGGACAGCAAATTTACTACGATTTGCCGAAGCGACCGCAATCAAACGACTTAAACCAGACTTATGCATACAGAAAGAGAGTGTGATTAACCTCTCACTTCCTTGGTAACTGAATTTTGATTTTGATTACAATAATTAATCATTTAATTCAGTGATCTCAACTCTCTGAATAAATGTTAATCTCATAAACTGTA